GCCAACGAGAAACGGGGATAAAAAGTGTACATTTAGGCCCGAATCATGTTCTCGATTAGTTTATCGGTTAACCCGATAACGGGTAAACAAGTGATTTTGTAAGGTTATACCAAAATAATCGATTTCTAACCTAACTAACATAAGACCTCATCCGTTTTCATCCGTCACACACACAAGAGCGCGCGCGCGCGCACACACACACACACATATATATATATATATATATCTTACTATATATTATGGTTGTTCAATAACAACTTCTTGCCACATAAGCACTTAGAGAATTCACAAGTTGTCAAGGTGGACAAATTTTTAACAAACAAGTTAGTTAATAATCTATTAATGGAGTTATCTCTCTCTTCTTTTAATGATTTTTCCTCTTATTCATTAATTTATTTTATTTATTATATCTATGTTTGTAGTCATAGACCAATATTTTTAGAGTGATATATACCGCGTTTGTTTAAACCAAAATATGACTTTATCAAGTAAATTTTTGACTCATTTTTACTAAAACATAATAACAAATTACATTTTATGGAAAATTTTAAACAATCACACAAATAATAATATTTTTATTGATTAAATAAAAATATAACGATAGAAGGAGAGAAAAAATTGTTAGACAATCAATCTACTTCCAAAAACAAAATATGTTATTTTTCTATTTTTGGCTATTAAACACTCTCTTATTTCTAATGTATATATCTATCAAATAAAACAAGTATTATATAATAAAAGGTTCAAATAGAAACTTTACGATCTACAGTTTCTTGTGATGAATAGATTCAAAGTGGCAAGTATTATATGACACGTATGAATGTTAGATAAATCTTTGTTGACGATATACGGTAAACACTATGTTTTCATCAAGCACTGACCTAGGCACATAACATTGATCAAACATGGTTTGACAAATTTTGGTTAATAGTTGAATGTCTTCTACACCAAAGCCTTTATAGTTAGAAGAGTCTAAAGCGATATTAGGTTAAAAATGAAGAATCTTTATAAGGGTGAGATAAAAAAGAAAATTGTAAGAATTCATTTGGTTGCGTACATGGTTGTGATTCTATGATTCAATACCAAATTTTGGCAATAACAAAAATATTTTTTATATCGAAGTGTCAAAACAAAAATGTTTTAGTTTGTAACCGTAAGCAATATGTATTTGGATCAGTTATCCTAGCCACAAAATTTGTTTTCCTATTCCACTAAACGAAGTGAGTTCTAAGGTCATATATCCTTAGATATTAACAATAGATGTGTCTACAATACATCCAAAAATTCATATGTATGTGAAATGCCACAATGTTGGTATGAGTTATAAATTTGTAATAAAAAATATAAAATTTCAAAAATAAAAATTTAATTGTTCAAATGATACGAAACTTTTAATGCATCTATATCTATGTGGATTGTAGTTGTAGACATGCTTCATGAATTATTAAGATATATAATAAAATATTTTGTTCGAGAACTAACACCAAGGATAAAGAAATTTTTCCAAATGTACATTAAAAAAGTTGGAAAAGTATACACTAAAAGATCATGTTAATACGAGAACCCTTGATAGTGTGAGAGTGTCTTGGTTTGAGATTATAAACCAACATGTAGACAACAACCATGGGCTGAGAGTTAGTCAAAACTTCAAGAATTATCAATTGGGACATATATATTGAGTAAATAAAATTTGATACACAAACCTTTCAAAATTTTCAAATTATTAGCCAAAACTTTCGAATTCAAAAAATAGTCAAATATTTGGTATCGCATCAAAATATTAGCCATTTGACTATTATCTTTAACAATTTTGTAACTCTTCTCTTAATTAAAATACTAATTTTTTGAATATTGACAGTCACGTGTCTCCTCCAACTCATCGTGTTGTTGAGTCAATATTACTAACAAAAATGCTCACGAGGAGTTAACATTTTGCTAATGCTTTGTATTTTGAAGGGCTTTGGTGATAATTTGAAAATTTGAACGATTTGACTAATAAATTATATTTACTCATTGTATAAGATACTAAATTTGAGTTTCTTGATAGACAAATTTTGACATAAGATCCTCAACATATACTTAATGAACATTAACATGAAAAAGAGTCAAAGATTAGATAAGTTGGTCATCATAAGGTGTGCAGAGTGTGTCAAGTTTCATTTGAGATAAGCACAATTTATCACGCAACTAAGTATCTTTATCAAATAATTTGAACTTTAATACTTGGTCGAGAGTTTGTCCTAACTCAAGAATCATGAAATGTTATATGCTTTATAAGATAATAAATTTGGTTGCCTTGGTTGACAATTTTTATATACTATTCTAAATAAGACGTGATAAACCTTCACAATATGATTTATGATTAGAGAATTGAAGCATCGTAGGTGAGTGTGCTAAGCATTGAGAATTTATAATATAAACGTAATCACATAATCAATTATAAAACGATAGAAGCGCGCCCCATCCTTCTTCTTCGCGAGTCTGGTTTCGTGATCTAGGGATCTAGCGATTCTGGTTTCGCGATTATGGATCTAGGGATTGGTGGGTGCAGGAGGAGTATTGGTAACAACTGGCGGGATTGGTAGGTGCGGCGTGAGGATATGCCGGAGGAGATGAGGAGAGATGAAGAGTGGTCGTCGTCCTTCCTCTTTGCGAGTCACCGCCATTTTCGTTCCTCCTTCTTCGACTTCTTGGTAGTGTCGGCGGGATTGGTGGGTGCGGTGGGAGGATTGGTAGCGGTGGCGGGATTGGTGGGTGTGGCGGGAGGATAGGTCGGAGGAGATGATAAGAGATGAAGAGTCGTCGACTGATTTTCAACTCCCTATCTCCTTTTTAGTTTTTCATGTAATTAATTAATTATTATCATAATAAATAATTTTGGGTAGTTGATTAACCGAGGTTTTAACCATTAACCGACCGGTCTGTGCTCCGATTAACCAAAGCATGTTGTTGGTCGGTGGTCAGCAGCCTGAAAAGGTTTGTTCGGATAACCGAAAACCAAGATTTTGGTTATCGGTTAAACCGAAACCGACTGAAATTCAACCCTAATAACACCATTCCACCATCAAATTTGATTAGAGAAGCAGAAAAGAATAAGAGACCAAACAAAAATTAATCAACTTATAAACCCACCAAATAATATCAAAGCTTAAATGTTATAGAATTTTGTCAAACTACTGTGCGCAAGTCCAACTTTCTACTGTGCTCCTTTTAAAACTTTTTCTTAAAATTATTCTCATTTGAACTTAAGTCACTATTACAATTAGGGGAGGCAAGAGATCTTCTAGCTTTCAAACATCCCATTATTTTTGGTCCATGCATGTGAATCATGGAGGCCTATTATTTTCAGCCCTAACTATGAGGATGACTGTAATCAGTTAGTTGGTTAACTGTTTAACCGTCGGTTACTAACCATTGGGGGTGTTCAAATGGTTACCATGGTAATTACCAAACCAAATAAGACTAAATTCTATTAATCGATGGTTACTAACCGCTGGGGTGTTCAAATGGAATAAAATAAGAAATATTTTCGGTTAATGCATTAATTCATAATTTATATATTGAATAAAACATATCAATCAACGCATAGTGATAACTGATAATTAACCCTGAACATAAATATTGGTACTAATACAATTATCTCTTGAGTGATTAGCAAAGTATTAAGTATGTGTATACAATAATTAGATATATGGCTAATTACTTAATTGGTTAATTTGATTTCATTGGTTAGGAGTGTGTGAAACCAAACCAAACCACCTAAACCAAACAAGCTAAAAAATTTAGGCAAAATACATTTTCATAGCCACAAATTTCGCGTTTGTGACAATTATAGCCACAAATTTCGAAAAAACAGAAATTAGTCACTTCCGTCCATCCCTTTAACGATGTCAAAAGCAAAATACACTTCCATATCCACAACTTTCACATTTGTGACAGTTATAGCCACAACTTTCAAAATACACAAAATAGCCACTTTCATCCATCCTTTTAACGGTGCCACTTAATAGTATGACTGGAGAATGGGGCTTATTTCCCAAATTGCCAATTCATATCCCCAATAGCTAGATTGAAGAAGAAGGCCTCGGAAGTTTGACAGAGTCAAAGAAAAACGACGAGAAAGAGGGGAAAAGGCTGTTGGGAAGAAGCTCGACGACGACCATGAAGAAGAAGGCATCAATGGCTGCATAGAAAGAGGAGACGGCGACCCTAGTGGCTACACAGACCGATGGGTCAGGAAGGAAGGATGTGGCTGCTCACAGTGCATTTGTCCCTCCAATTCCTTGAAATCGCCGCGACTGCAGTTGTTCTTGTTTAAGGTGAAGACTGATTCGTCACAGTCAATTGGCCCGATTCGTTGCATTCCCTCTCAACCAGAGCCCTGAAAAGAAATCGAGGAGAGGGTCGCTGACGGTGTGTCAATTTGGTATCCTAGTCAACGTGTTGTTAACCTAACTGACGCAATCTCTAACACCATTAAAGTTTGTAACGGAAATGACTAGATTTGTCAAACAACTATCAAAATTTTGGCTATTTCGTGTATTTCGAAAATTGTGGATATATCTGTCACAAACGTGAAAGTTGTGGCGATTTTGCCAAAAATTTAACCAAACCAAACAAATAATCCAAATTAACCAAATACTATCGGTTAAAACAGTTATCATGGTAACCACTCTGTTTGAACACCCCTACTAACCATTTAACCGTAGGTTAGTAATTATCTAAATTTTGCTATCAGAAACCAATCTCTTATTATTTAATCAATTACGATGTAACCGTTTACTATCGGTTCCGGTTCCGGTTCCGGTTCCGGTTCGATTGCTGATTGCACCAATAGAATAACAATTTACCAACCCTATCTATCTAGAGATGCCAAAATTCCGGACTCTAATAATTAAGATGAGGCAAAATTGCACAATGACGAAGGCGATTTAGTTTCTTTTATATGGAAAAAGAAATAATCAAATGTTGATTTACCACCACCATGCCATATCAGAAGAAACAATAAAAAAGCAGAAAGACCCCAACCGATCTTTCATTCTTTCTCTCACACACACATCGAATGTGAACTCTGTTTCACGAACCATTCTCTCCTTTTCCGATAAACCCCTCAATTCACGACAGAATCAATGCGATTCGACGTATGAAATTGCCTCTTCTCTGCTTCTTTTAGAGCTCATTATTTCCCTGCCTTTGTCTCTCTCCATCATCTTCAGTCATCCACAACTCAATCTCAGCTGTATTTCTTGAAAGATTGCCCTGCTCTTCCGGATTCGGTGGAAAAGAAGGTATTACTGGATTCTCCTTTCTTCCGCATCCTTCCCGGTTTCTTCTTCGACGAACTTGAATCCGTGGCTGATTTTAGTTTCTAGAACGAAATGTAATCGCATGTTATTATCATTGTAAGTTGAAATGCTTCTCACGAATCAACCGTATGAAACTGGGTTGGTTCGAAATGGTACTTTGATTGCGGAATTCTACTTCACCAACCGTATTTGCTACAGTGTGATGCGATGGATGGTTGAGTTCCTCCTATCATGGCTGCTGGAAATAAATGTTGATTGTATCAAATGTCATATTACTACTTGATTCTTGCATAGGGCACGATTCAAGAACAATTCTGTGAAAAATTAAACTTTCAACTTGTTGAAAGCTTAACTCGATTCTGCTTCCTGAGACTGTTGTCAAGGTTATAATTCTTCGAATTGGTGCTATACCGTTTGATGTGAATTTATTTGCTTGCTGCTTTTTTCCATTCTGGTCATATCTACAAACGCGAGCTCCTGAGTCTTTTCTTGTTCAATGTTTCTCTCAGTTTTGTTATTGAATTGAAGCAAGAATTAGATGTCAAGTCAGTGTGGAGCATCATGAATCAGATCCCGCCGGTCTATTTTCAGGTTGTCTTGCTTGAACGTTTGGTGTTTCTGCTTCGTTTTCAGGCAATAAATATCGAGGTCGTAGTTATACAACTGGGGTTGTCCATGTCAAGTTGAGATGCTTATAGCATATCTTAGGGGGTTTGTGAATATCTTGAGGTGAAGTAACTTTACTTTCTGTTGATTGATGGTTTAGACGACACTTCTTCTCTGCAGGAATACTCCGTTCTTTTGATATGTGAAGATTCACCATGTATAATCTGCAATGCAAGTCACGTCAGGTGTAACGAGTGATTAGTTACAGGGTAACCTCGGTCTTCCGCTCCATCTATTAGTTAATTGGATATGGCTGCAGCAAGCAAGACTAGAAATATGCTTGAAGGTTTTGTAAAAGATGGATCTTTTAAATGGTTACTTGGGAAGCGGACTTACTTTGATGAAGAATTTGAGGAAATGGGAAGGTCACCTTCTGCTAAGAGTAACTGGATCCCAGAGCTATCTCCACTTGCTAATGTGGTCGTTCGTAGATGTTCCAAGTAAGTGCGGAACTTCTCTTTCCCTCTATGTTCTCCTCTTAGCGATGGAGTTCTCCAATCTATTACCGAGTACAAATGCCCCTTTGCTTTTAAACTTTCGTTGTTGATGATCTAGCTGTTAGTGGGAAACATGAAGCTGTGTTCTCTACTTGTATTTTTGTCTCCTGATTGACAAAGGATGCTGCAGAATCCTTGACACTTCACCAACCGGCCTCCAAGAAAGTTTCAATGCAGAAGCTCCTGATTCCATAAAGCACCCATCTTGTTATGTCAGGAACTTCCTGGAATACTGTTGTTTCAGGACACTGGCTGTGTCCATCCAGGTAACAGGTCACCTGGGAGATAAGAAGTTCCGGCGGTTGGTATATGATATGATGTTAGCTTGGGAGGCTCCATCGGCTTCCAGTCAACCCCTGACTAATGTAAGCTTCAATACTTGATGTGTACTTAAGAGTGCTTATCTTTTAACATGCCGTGAGTGCACTTTTGGAAACTTTGTCAATTCATGTACAGCATGTTAGCATAGGCATCTGTTAGATTAAAGTGAGCATTATGAAAAACACAATAGGTCTAGTTCTTACATTCAGTCAGAAGCGTTACTGTGGGATCTTGAGTTCTGATGTGAAGCTTTAGTTCCTTGGGGTAGTTCTTGACCGTAACGTTCAAGGTAGGCCACGATAAACAAAGCATTCAATGACAATGAAAAGGAAGGTAGATGGTAGCATTTCAACTGTCGGGCTCCGAACAACTTGGAAACAAAATCCAGCACAAGCATGCAGTTGAAAATTTATACTTTGAACTATTTGCTACTCTAGCGGAAGTTTGAGATTCTTATCTTCCACCTCTATATTTGTAGCAATGTATTTCTCTCACTTCTTTTGTTTCACCTGAATTCCCTTCTTCCTCGGTTAGTGTAGGGGTAGTGTTGGATCCACGGACACCTCAAAATAGAAAGCGGTTTCCTCGGGATCACTGAAAGTGTATGGAGTAGTAACTCTAATTTACTTCAGGTCCTTCAGAAAGAAGAAAATTTGGCTTCAGGCCGTTCTACATTTTTCTTACATCCTGACATCAAAACATATGCACAAATAATCCTATCTTCGTTTCATTCATTAAACTATCATGACTTAAGTTAATGTAGGTTCTGAACTAGCAGAAAGGCACATGTTTCCTACAATTTGATGGGTAAAATATGGTAAAAATGAGCTGATGGCCGGTAAGAGACTCAAAGCAGACAGGACCTTAGGGCATATTTCACTCTAATCAAATAATTCTCTCTTGGGCGCTGCACATGTACAAAATACTAGTAGCAGGCATTATATTGTCCAAAAGTCCTGAAGCAGACTCCTCTCAGCTCTTACCATGGTGCTGATTGTGACTTGCTTTTGATGCTCTAATTAAACAGTGATAAATGTACTTTCTTCACATGAGCAAGTAGCAGCACTGTACTGCAGTCCTTATTCTAGTAAGCCTTAATATGAATGCAAAACATTTTGACATGTGATCTTTGCCATCATGTTCTGTCTCATCTCTCTTCTCCTCTCCCTCCCAGACTTTATGCCCATTACAGTTTTGAATAAAATATTCTCCTAAAATTTTACTTTACAGTGCCCTTAGTACTCTGTCGCTCTTACTGTTGATCTAAGTTTCAGTTGCTATTCGTCTCTTAGGGAGATGAAGACCTGACAGTTGGGCTTGACTCCTTTTCCCGAATAGCACCAGCAGTTCCGCTCATCGCTAATGTTGTTATAAGTGAAAATCTCTTTCAAGTGCTGACTGTGTCAACTGATGGTCGGCTTCAGTTTTCGATCTTTGACAAATACCTAAGTGGATTAGAAAGGTACCTATATTCTAAATCTCCAAGTATTGTTTTGATATTGATTCTGTCACTTCTTAGTTTCTGTTCTTATTTTCACTTGATTGAACTGATTTAAGTTACTGCTCTCCCTGAGGTGGCTTGGAGGACCTGAAACCAAAGCGCTTCCCTTCTTGAGTAATAAAGGGATTGGCTGTAGCCTGATGGCTGCTTGCTGCTACTGATTCTCTGATGTTGCTCTTCATGGAAACCCAATATTTATTCTTTGAATCATTCTTCCTTACAGAGCAGTAAAGAGAATGAAATCGCAATCGGAGTCATCACTTCTTGCTGATGTTCGACCTGCAAAAAGAGAGAGGATTCTAGAAGTAGATGGAACAGTAACCACCCAACCAGTTCTTGAGCATGTTGGCATATCTACTTGGCCTGGTAAGTTTGGAACCGGACAAAATCCTCTCTATAGTGACTTGTGATAGGTTGTACTTTTATAAAAGGAAACACAGAGGAGTACATGGTAATTTGTCGTCTTTGTTTACATTTGCATGCAGGTCGTTTAACTCTTACAGATCATGCCTTGTACTTTGAAGCTCTTCGTGTTGTATCCTATGACACACCAAAAGTGTATGACCTTTCAGAAGATTTGAAGCAAGTTGTTAAACCTGAATTAACTGGACCATGGGGTACTCGGCTCTTTGACAAAGCAGTTTTCTATAGTTCTAATTCATTGTAAGTCATGCTTTGTCTACTTGATTTATGTTGAACAATTGTGGATTGTAAATTTTTCAGGTGTCCTTATTCTGCAATTCAGGTACTACAGTAGCGTGACTTTTGAATTGGTTTTGCTTGTAGATCAGAACCTGCTATTATAGAGTTCCCTGAGCTCAAAGGACATACTCGGCGTGACTATTGGCTTGCAATTATTCGTGAAATTTTGCTTGTCCACAAATTTATAAAAAAGTTTCAGATCTCAGGAGTTACACGGGACGAGGCACTTTCAAAGGCTGTACTTGGAGTCTTGCGATTGCAAGCAATTCAAGAACTTAGTTCTGTAGATTTGGTCCGCCATGACGATATTCTCATGTTTAATCTGTGTGAACAACTCCCTGGTGGGGATCTAATATTAAAAACTCTGGCAAATATGTCCTCTGTAGAGCGAGCTAACCAGGATAAGCATGGAGGCGGAATGTACTCGGCCTCGTCGTTGGCAATGGTTTCTGGTTTAGGATTTGTTTTTGGTACCACTTCGAGTGATCCTAATGTGACGGCACTTGTTGTTGGTGAGGTAGCTGTTGGTGAGATGAGCTGTTTGGAAAAGTCAGTCAGGGAATCAAAGGACAGCTACAAAAAAGTGGTTGTAGCTCAAGCAACAGTGGATGGGGTTAAAGTTGATGGCCTCGACACTAATCTGGCCGTGATGAAGGTGAGGCCAGCTGTAATTTTATCATCTGGAGTAGTGATACTGATTCCCCTGCTAAAGTGGTTAAATCTGGCATCTTTGAAGTAATATTTATACTAATTTTTCTTCCTAGGGGTTTCCATAAAACTGCATATCCAATTTTTCTTTTATAGTGCATATCCAAGTTTTTAAATAATGTCATGTGGCATTTTTTTCTATCATACACGTCTTCAAGCTTCATATCCAATTTTTTTTTGTAGTACATATCCAAGTTATTAAATAATGTCACGTGGTATTTTTTTTCTAGCATACACGTCATTAAAGGACTTATGATCATATGTTTGCAGGACATTCTGCTCCCAGTTATGGAAGTTGGGAAATGGCTTCTTTCCTTGTTGTATTGGGATTCCCCAAAGAAGTCGTTCTTGTTCTGCTTGTTTTTTACTTATATCATCTGGCGGTAAGCTCTCATTCTTTTGACATTGTTCTTTACTCCTACAATGACGGCATATGCTGTTGCAAAACTAAATACTTTCGCCATCAGTATATTACTTTTTAGATGGCTGGGTGGTGCACTCCCTAGATGATTAGATATGCCATGACGGTACTGGGATATGCTGAGGGCTAATAGAAGTGTAATGTGGTTTAGGGTAGTTAAGCAGAAAGAAGTATTTTTTGTTTGGCTCACATGTTTCATTTTGATGTGCATTTGCCCCATCCTCTTTTAAGAATGATATGTAAATGAAGGTTAGTACATTCAGCAGCAGTATTTGCCAACTGCCACAACAATTAAGAACTGAGTTGAGCAGAAAGTTACAAGTGAACTGGTTGCAAAATCTTCTGTTATCTGATATCCGAGTTTGCTAGAAGTTCCGTAATTTTTTCTTTGCTAGGATTCCTTTAGCCATCACAGTAGAGAGTAAGCAGCCGTATTCTTGTCGGTAACTAAAAGGATCTGCTTGAGTCATTTGCTTCTCAGTCATCAAGTCAAGTTGTGAAAACTGTCTGCTTGTTGGCCTCCTCAAATCCTCTATATTTTCTCCTGGGTTCCTAGAAGTTTCTCGCTTTACTTAGCTTTGTTATAGTTTTTCCTGTGTCAAATCCAGTAAATGTACATTTATTAGTGGTAGTACTCTAAAAGCATTTATCATTTTGTCTTAAAATGTTTCTGCCTCGTGTATGTGTGTCGATTCTCAAATTTGAGCTCCTCGTTGATTATTAAGGCAATATGAAAGTTTGTTAGCGATGGAATAGATTGGAGAAGGAGCTGTTCGACTAACAGAGTTCTCCTGTTTCAGGGACTGGTTGGGGTATGCTTTCGGATTGATGCTCGCTTCACTGGCTGTATTCATGTTGCTTACTCGTTTTTTCAACCAAGGCCAGCCTGTCGATGAGCTGAAGGTAGTAGCACCACCACCTATGAACACAATGGAGCAGCTTCTCGCTGTCCAGAATGCGATTTCTCAGGTGGAGCAGCTGATCCAGGATGGCAACATTGGCCTACTCAAAGTCCGGGCTTTACTACTTTCCGTGTTCCCACAAGCGAGCGATAAATTTGCGGCAGTGCTGCTGGGCATGGGGTTAGTGCTGGCCATCTTGCCATTGAAGTACGTAGTTCTGTTGGGCTTCCTGGAGGTGTCCACAAGGTACTCGCCAGCAAGAAAAGAAAGCTCGGAGAGATGTGCGAGGAGAATGAGGGAATGGTGGTTCAGCATACCGGCGGCCCCGGTGGTACTTGACAGAGAGAAGGATGACAAGAAAAAGAAGTAGAAGTGAAGTGAGGTGAAGCGTGGTTAGTCCTTTGTACTGAGGCTGGTGGTGCTTATGTTGTTTGTACTTTCTGCATGTATGTACAGGGACACTTGTGACGTACAAGAACAGAACCTCTCTGTGACTGTAAATCTCACCAAGGATAAATGAGAGAGGGAAAGTCATATTTGGAGTAAGTGGTTCACACGTGTGTGTATTGATGAATCCTGAGGTTTAGGACGCGAGACCATAAGGAAAAGATGAGGACAGCAGAAGCAAAGTGAGTGAGTTGCATGTTTGAATGTGAAGGGAGTACAAGACGTAAAGAAGAAACAATAATGGTGGAAGAAGGGTAGTTTATTTAAAGACCTGCAAAACAAAATTATTGAAAAACAGCCCAAGGGTGGATGATTTGATGTGAAATCTAGGATAAAGTGATAAACACTAACGTTCTTCCTATTCTTTTTCATTATCCAAAACTATTGATTTACTAATGATTATTCAAAATTATTCATTTACTAATGATTTGTTAAATCTTTTATAATGTATCAAAATATTAGCCATTTTTATGTTATCGTTAATAATTTTGTAACATTTTCATAGTTAAAATACTAAAGTTTTAGAATGTTGGTATTCACGTGTCTCTTTCAAGACAAAATTAAGTTAATATTACTAACAAAATTACTAGTTGGAAGTTAACATTTGACTAATTATTAGTAATTTAATAAGTTGGACTAATAAAAAATAATGATTTTTTTTGGACTAATGATTAATATTTATGCTGATGGATGATCTATCTCTCAAGTCATTAGAGTCAACTTACCACACCAAGTTTGCAAATCAAACTAGCAAACCATAGCATAAACAAGATACAAAGTAATGATAACTTACCACACCAAGAATGCAGCACATATGAATAAATGATAACTGCAAAGTAACTGATTCGTATTATTTAAACCCTCGGCAAATCTATCCCATTTTGCTGTTTGCAACTTTTTTTTTTTTTCAAAATACACTTGCATAGCCAAAACTTTCACCTTTGTGCCACTTTTGGCGAAATACCACTAATAGCCACTTTCATCCGATTCTTTAACGCTGTTAACGTTAAGTGTGACTGGGCAAACGGAAAGGCTTATGTGGCCCGCCTGCGTTTTACACGTGGATAATAATTAAAAAAAAAAGAAAACAAAAGCCCTTATTTTTACCCACCCACTTTTTACTCCGTCGTATCCTCCTTCGAATCCACCCACCCTTATTCGAAGGCGGCGAAGTCGACGAAGACGACGATCTGCCTCCGACGACCAGTGTAACCAACCTCTCTTCCTTCCTCCACCATCGAAATACCCTTTATCCTCCAGTCCCGATTTTCCTCCTTCTTCGATAAAAACCTACATGCATCCAATGGGTTGACCAACCGGCGGCGAGCTTTGGCGGAGTCCTTCGAAACTTGTTTTCTGCTGTTTGCTTTGAAGGGATCTCGGAATCGACCCGTAGCAGACGCGATTTGACTGGGTTCGTCGAAACCCTAATCGCACTTGAAAGGGGGATTTTTGCTCCCACTCTTGTGTCGCGACTGGTAAGGTTCTTTTCTTGCTTTGTTACTGTGGTTGTGGATTGGGGGATGAAGGTTCTTATAGTTTCTTCCTTCTCTTCGTTTTTTGGTTGGTATCGAGCTGTAAAGACAAGAAACCTACAGTAAACAATGGAGCTAGAGGCAAACGACCAAGAACAGCACCAAATCCAGGAAACAACAACAACACAGCTCAGAGAGCAAGAGTAGGTCACTGCTCCAAGTGCGGTTCGAGTACGCATAGTTACGAACATGTCCTCTAAACCAGGGAGTTGGTATCCAAGTAAGTTGAATGGATTTGGATAGAATATAAGGCTCATTGTGTTGACGAATTTGAACCTGAACAACTTATTGAATGTTGTCGCGTTGTGCTTGCTATGGTAGGACGTTAGGCTAAATGTTGTTGATCGGAGGACTGTTGAACGCGAGTTGCGAGTTGCCACAAGAGGAGTTGGAGTCTACGTGTCAGAGCATACTGGGAACCAATACGTTAGAGTAAGTATTTATACGGTTAAAGGATTGTTGTTATCTGAGATGAATGTAATGGCTGATTTTTAGAATTGTATTTCATCTCAATGGTTTGAGAGGACGAGCGTTTGAAACCACGCAACCCACGGAGGTCCAGATGAATGGAAGTCAACCCCCACCCTCGCACCCTTAGACCAGTCTATCCATGAGTCAACTCGTATTTTTTGTGCAAGGCCATTAAGCTACCTCGCTAGAGGGTTTTTTTTTGGGAAAGATGACTCATGTATTGACTTTTTATGAACACTCTCGGAGTATGTTAGTATGTTTGGTAAACTAATATAATGTAATGCTCGGATTAAAAACAACTCGGAGTATGTTGATAGGCAGACTTATGTAATGTTTCGCTCGGATTATGAACAAATCGGAGTATGTTAGGCTACTATGTAATGAACAACTTGGATTATGCTATTGTGTTAGGCTTCTCTTGTAATGACAGTTAATGCATCATCGAAAACGTTTTCAGAAACCTTTTGGTAAAAATGTCAAGGACACAACTACATTAAGAACACAAATACCAATTGCTTCTACACAACATTTAGGATGACAACTATGTTTTCAGAAACCTTTTGCTTCTCATACCAATGTCGAATTACATCAACAATGTCGATTCATTTCCTACCACATAATAACGTGATGCAACATAAGAATAACCAATATTAGGTTCAGTACGACAATCACTGTGAATAAAGCTCGAATTACATGAATATCATGATTAACTCTCCTTCCTTCAGCTAGCATAATTTCATGTGCCTTCATCCATCTTGATAGCTCTTCAGCCAAAATTTTCTTCTCTTTCTTCCTCCTTTCCGCCTTACACTCAGCTATCCTCAAACTTTCTTCAATATTCAAAGTCGAACACCCAATTTCAGAGTCATGTTGCTTATCTTCATCGACATTCATTCGCACCCACCTAAAGAAGCGACAGTTCTTCTTCTCGTCCGGCACCATACGAGCATTCAACTTATTACATACATCAATGACAATTTCAAAAGCCATCTCTAAACACCTTACCATCCAAAATGGACACCCATAGAACTGTCTACCTGGGTTCGCTTCGGTTCCAGATGTATTGACCACACATGGCTTCTTGTGCCAACAGAGTACCGCCCCTCGGCTATTGATGCTAGTCGAAGTTGAGGAAGATGCTCGCTTGGACATGGCTGACCTTCGCGTGAAGTTCTGGGCAGGAGAAATCCCGATTTCGGGGTCGCGAATCGGCCGAGAAGAGCTGGGATTTGGGGAAGAAGACTAAGCGCCGAGTCGTTCAGAAAGTAGAAGAAGATTTGAGGAAGAAGATTTGGGGAAGAGGAGTAAGCATCGATCAGTATGTGTATATCCTTCGTGGGGAAGAGGAAATATGGGAAGAACGCTAATTTAGTTTTCTGGAAAGAGATGGGGAGGAAGGAAGCCCTAATTTCGTTTTCTGGAAAGAGATGGGGAAGAAGGAAGCCTCGTGCCAATCAGGTAGATGGGGAAAGGGTTAAATTTTTAGATTGATTTTTTTAATAATAAATAAATTATTAAGATGACATGTCACTATTTGCTTAGTTGTCACTGACGTGGCTGATGATTTGGCGCCTCGTCAGCCGACCGTCAAATAAGTTGATGGAGTTATTAACACCGTCATAGTTTCTAACGGAAATGGCTATATCTGGCACGCAACATCTTTCAAAAGTGGCTATTAGTGGTATTTCGCTAAAAGTGGCTATAAGTGGCACAAAGGTTAAAGTTTTGGCTATACAAGTGTATTTTGCCTTTTTTTATTTATTCTATGAACGTATACAGAGTCTGGCAATTGGAAAATAGATCCTTTAAGTTATCGTCTCTTCTAACATTTATATTGAATTGTGTCTTTTTTTAATAAAATATAATCATTATATTGATTAGAGTACAAGATCATTACATCCTGGAATTTAACCAGCTAGAAAATCAAACAAGCGGCATGTAGTCCGGCTCAAAGAGAGGGCTTTTCTAACCACCAAGTGGGGTACCCTATTATTACTCCGTCCTGCAAACCGCACATTAAACCTATCGTGATTCGCAAATAACGTAGGACCTCCTCCATAATGGCTCCTGTCCGACTATCACGGGCGTCTCCCTGACTGAGTTTATCAATGATCACTTTGGCATCCCCTTCGAGCTAAAAGTTCAGCAATCATATGGTCATCAATATGCGGGAACTGCACACCCTTAGCCAAGAGGACCCTCGCTCCATGGCTTACGATAACTATTCCTCCAGCCGAATGGGATCCACGCCTGTTTGCCCCATCCCACATACATACAACAGAATTCAGGGGACTCACCCCCCAAAGAGTGTACACGTGGGCTGGCCCTACGCTTGTGAGTAACGTCAATGGCAGAGAGATCCATTCTTGGTACTACTGGTGAAACTGTTGCATTAATGCTGGGATCCCATATTGTTTGCCTTCTAACACAACCCAATTTCGTGAGCGCCAGATCCTCAAGAGGATCGCAACAACGGCCATAAATAGCTGTGGTTGGTGTATCACCAACAACAACATTTTAAGGAAGAGGGGGAAAAGTGTGACAAGGCAAACCCTGACTAAGATACGATCCAAGCCTGAATGATCCCATAAAATCCTAGCCACCGGGCACTCTAGAAACAAATGCTCTAATGTTTCTGACTCTGCCCAACAGGCCGAACACCTAGGAAACACTTGAGCCTTTTTCTCAATAAGGGCTTCCGTTGTAGAAAGGATCCAGTGGAAAATTTGCCACATGAACACTTTTGAATTTTGATGGAATATTTGAGTCCCACAAGCAAATCCAACTTGATCTATCCATCCAACTAGCCAATGATTTCCATCGCCCTTTCTTCTTATCCAATAACACTGTAAGATGATAGGAGGGCTTGACCGTGAATACCCCATCCCTCGTGTCATGCCATATCAACCGATCCTCTACATCCTGACGTAGAAGAGGAATAGCTTTGACAACACGAACAGTAACTAGATCAAACACTGACCCTCAGCTGGACAAATCACCTCCGCCACCTTTGGGATAGCATGTCACATCCCGATCTCTAAAACCCTTAAATAACTATTTTTTCTCCGGAGCATATTTAAAATTTTGAAAGAAAGAAACAATAATGTGCTCGAAATACAAATACTAGAAATACACCTTATAA